TTTTTGCCTTATTTTGGTACATGCAGAGAAATGTGAGCAAGAATTGGCACATCCCTCCTTCTTTTCCTAGTGATGCAGTGATCTCTGCATATGCAGCTCCACAAGTAGATAAATCAACTGAACCTTTTGCGTGGGGAAAGCCTGATGTTTTTTCGCTACGCAGGCAAGTGTTATATTATTAGTTAGTATTATTTTCTGCTGTCATTGCAATTTTTTAGTGTTAAACTTTTAATATTTAACTTCTTATCCTGGGTAATTATTTGAAACCTGCTTCTTTTTCAACATGAGCATTTATAGTATGTTATAAGGGAATATATTATTGCAGTTTATTTGAAAGTAGCAGAAGTGCATTAGTAACGTGTTATGTCTGACTGTAGATTGTGCTGGGAAAAGTTTGGATGGGCTAGCCAGAAGGCTGATGAGCTGCTTTCACCGGTCTTAAAGGAGTACAATAAGCACGAGGTCAGTACCTCTAGTAATCAGTTTGAGAACTCAAGCATTGTGCATTTTGGCAATCTTGTATCTAGTATTTAAAAAATTGGAGAGATTTCTCAAAGGTGTACATAGAGGAACATTAAGATTTTCTGTTCAGAGTTTACTTCTTAGTTGATAATCAAACCAGATTATAAATATGTCAAATTCAAGCCCAAATGGAAGCTTTACCATTCGTGTTGCTCTTGTTCATGGTTATGGACTTATGGTCTCGCTCATGGATAAAACACTTAAGAGAGATTGTTGGTTAACAGCTTGTGCAAACTTTTAATTTTTAATAGAATTGTTTGCACATATTTCTACGCTTCAAGCTATATAGCCGAATTTGTGTCATGGTGCATCTTCGCACAGGCATTTGCTTTTGGTTTTTTGTCATTTTGGATCATCTTCTTATACCTTTGCTGCATTCTTTGCCATTCATAATTTTGTCCATTAGATGGACCTGAGGTCTCAAATCTCAATCACTGACTTTATGGCTTCTTTTGTCTTTTGGTTTTTGAAGACGCAATTGCGACTCGAAGCATTTTATACTTTCAATGAGCGATTCGCCAAAATCCGCAGCAAGAGAATTAAGCAAGCTGTGAAAGGCATAACCGGAAAACAGTCCACAGGCTTGGAAAAAGCTGATGATTTGCAAGAGAATCCTGCAAAGATGAAGAAAGCTGAAGCACGTGCCAGTGTTAACACAAGGAAAAAGTCTCTTTCAAAAAGAAAAGATTATGTTGTTGGATCACGAAACAAATCTGCTAAAAAGTATAGATCACTACAGCAGGAGAATAAAGAGGATGGGCTGTCAGCCACAGGAGTCTGTACCGAGGCTGAAAAACAGAGTATGAGGGATGCTGGAAGCAGTAGAGTCAGAGGTAGAGGAAAAAGAACAGCTGTTGGTAAAGGTAGGCGAAAGGAGAATTTTGATTCTGAGTGTGATGAGACCAGTATAGATGATCACAACAGCAACAGTGATGAGCATGAACATGAAGTGCTATCTGAAATCATTGAGTCTCCTGATAATGTTCGAAGGGTATGCTTTTTCCCCCTCTGCCTTTTCATCTTTCCTTGCTGTTGGTTAGGTGCTAACTAATATGGATTAGCAGCAAATTACAGATTACATCTAGTCCTTGGTTGAAAATTGACACGGAATGTTCTTGACTAGACTGGCAACTGTATGGACCTGTTGATTTGCCAACTCCAACTAAATTTTATTGCATTAATATCTTTATCATGCAAATTTATTTTGAGGATGGTGGTGGGAAGAACTGCTTTTGAAATCCTTCTTTTTATTTTTGAACTCAACTTTTTTTATCAGCGCACTCTTAGTTATAGTGATCTAATGGTTTGACCAGCTTGTGCTGTTTTACCAAGTCTACTGACACATTAAATGGCACACTTTTCAATACTGAAATAGTTAAATCTCAAACCTTAATATTAAAACCAATAGGTTTTCCATGTTTGATTGAACTGGGGATCATGAAGCAAGTTTATGTTGAAGTCAAGTCGTCAAGATGTTTAAAGTGGTGACCACTATTCTCCAGTGCTGGACAGAAATGTCTTATTGTATATTTGAACTGTTAATTCTACAAAGTAGCCTCAAAAGATGATCGTTTTGTCCACGACTCCATTCCCAGGGACTGAAAATATCATTACTTGTCAAGTTGCACCATTCTTTTATTTTTCACAAAGGTTGGTTTCTTTGCATCTGCAGTCAAAGCGTGCCCGGAAAGCTGCCAACTATGTGGAAGAAGATGATGAAAGTGATGAGCTACTGACTTCTCTAAATGAGACGGACAAGAATAGTGAAGGAGCAGGTGGACGTGAAGCTGATACGGCTAATGTTAATGCAGAGAAAGACTTCATGTCTGGAGATCTTTCTGGTCCTGGCTTCCCTGGAGACTACTTAGTAATGGGTGGTGGATTCTGTCCTGAAGAAGACGAGGCAGAAATAGATAGTAATCTGTTAGGTTCTATCCAGATGGACACTGCTATTGTTGATGTAGATGGTGAATATTTGCAAATGGGCGGTGGGTTTTGTGTAGATGATGAAGATGATCCGAATTTCCAAGAACGTGATGGAGGTGGAGCATCCACTGTAACTGATGCTCATGTTTCCACTGTAACTGAAACTGAAGAACATGGCCTAACAATTGATCCTTGTGAAAATTCCTCAGCTCCAGTGAGTGTTCTCGATACAGCCGAGGGCTTGCAAAAAGGCTTCTCGTGTGATGTTAATCTAAATCTTGATAAACTCCGAACCTTTGATGACAATTTGCCTAATGTAGCCAACATTGCTGCTCCAACTTCTGTGAACCCATTTAGTGCTCTTCCATATTTGAAAAAAAAGAAAAAGAAACCTTGATACCCGGAATCTCTGCTATATTTTAGGTTTTGCTGTTGTAAATAGTATATACCACAAGATTTTAGGAAGAAGCTCAATCCTAAAATTATTTGGTTAGTCCTTTCACCATGGTTGTACCAGGCCCACCACTACTATTAATAGTTGTTTATTGGCCTCTTTTTGTTATTCTCCCATAAATTTGTTGGCTGCATTTTTTTCCCCTGTATTTTATATTCAGTTTTGTTTTAGAATTTTCTCTGTCAAATTTCCTACAATATTTTAAATAAAATAATTAAATCACCACCTTTTGCCTCTTTTCAGTCATTTTTTCAGCCCATTTTTTTTTAATTCCCCTTCTTTTTCTTTTTCTATTCTATCGATTTTCCTCTCTTACTATTCTATCCTTACTCTACTCTAGTCTTCCTTCATTTAATTTCTTCATCTTTCAATATTAATTCACTGTCAATTGTTCAACCTCCCCACCATTTAAGAAACCAAACCCTAATTTTTTTTCCTCACCAACATCATAATTGCACTACTGTACTTGCAATATCTTGAAAAGGGGAAAGAGGAAGGACAAGTTGTCATCTTTAGTAGTTGAGAGGGGACCAGAAGGTGGGTATCTTTGCTAATGCACTGCTGTACTTGCAATATTTGGAAAGGGGAAAGAGGAAGGACAAGTCGCCATCTTTGGTAGTTGAGAGGGGACTAGAAGGTATGTATCTTTGCTGATGACATTGCATTGAACATCAAAGCTGATTCCATAACAAAGAACTCCAATTTAATTTTACCAGGAACCCTAATTTTAGAAAACCCCCAATTTAACTGTACCAAGAAGCCTAATTTTAGAAAACCCTCAATTTAATTGTACCAAGAATCCTAATTTTACAAAGAACTGAACTTACGTGATTGTGACTTCAGTGTCTGCACTTGTGGGAGAATTTCAAATTAAAACTTGCAAAAATGTCTGAATTTGAAGGTAATTAATGATTTCGAAATTGTGGAGGAGTTTGAAGAGTAGTTTTATAGAACAAAATCGGGGGCAAAAAATTGAAATAGGGTTAAACTAGCCGTTAATAGCCGTTATGTGGGCCCCACAGCCGGAAAATTGACCAGGAAGAGGCAAATGTGGTGATATAATATTTATTTAATTTAATGGGTGGTAATTTAAAATAAATTTTATAGGTGGTAATTTCAAAATGTGTATATTTAATGGGTGATAAAATACAAAATTTCCTTATTAAAGTGTATTTCCTTATAAATTTCCCGAGGAAAACACAACCTCATGTAACGAAATTCTCAATACAATGTGTGCTCCCACAATGGCACAAATGATTAAAAAACAATTTACCACTTCGTTCTATATTCCACCAAATTTGGAGCTTAACAATGAAAATAAATTAAAATAATGCAACATTCTATGCAACTCAATTTAAATTAGAAAAAAAAAAAAGAATAATCCCACCTTTGCACGACCTGCTCAAAACGAGCCAACTTTAACTTTTGTATAATGGAACGGGAAGGAAGGAGGTGGTTTTCAAGGTGGGAGAATGGGAAGGCAGCTATCTTTTATTTTTTTTTTTTTTTAATTAATTCTTAAAAAAATAGGACCGATTAAAAGGTGACACATGACTATTCGCCTTCTAAAAACGGTTAAGGGACTGTTTTGAGAAAAAATAAGGCTGTTGAAAGGTGGGCTAGTTCCTATAATACACAAAGGTTGGCTCGTTTCGAGCAAATTACGCAAAGGACGAATTTTTTATTTTTTTTCATTCATATATTTTCCTTTATATTATTTCCTTTATCAAACATGATTCTTGGAAATGTTTTTGCCTGGAATTAATCTGGTTTTTCCTCGAACTAAAAATATAACTATTACATTTGACTATTAAAATTTGTAAAAATTAGGAGTATAAGAAATAGGTAACAAGTACTCCCATAATTTTTAAATTATTTCCTTATTGTTTTTGGGTCTTTTTATTGCTTGATTGACATATACAAATTCTAAATTCATTGAGCAACTAAAAACAACTTGATAAATCATTGAAATTTGAAGCTATACAAATTATTAGTTCGTATATTCTTAAGAATTACATTTAGTCATTATAAGTCTTACACATGAACTTAATATTTTCTCTCATGTGCATTTTCTCTTGAGAATGTGTCTTCATGTCGAACTTAATTTCTCAAACTATTGATTAGGATAATATATTGTAGTAGAAATTTGCTGCTTTTTTTTTTATTTATTATTATTATTATTATTATTTTTTTAATTCACTCAACTTTTACTGGTTTCTAGAAACTTTACATGAAATAAAATGAAGAAAATGAAGATTTGAAGAAAAAGAAACTTGGTAGAAGAAGAGAGAAATGAAAGGAATATGAAATTATGCATCAATGATAGACTACTATATTTATTATTAGAGAAGGTATTGGGTGCGGACTGCCGTACGAAAAATTGCTTGCGGCAGGTTTGCTGATTGTAACACCTCCGATTTACTAGCTAATAATAAATAAGAAAAATAAACAACTTTTGAATAAAATTGCGGAAGCATACACCTACATCGGAGGTATTACCGCCACACTCAACAACTTGTCAAGTGTTAAGGCTTACAATATCCCAATAATTACAAGTCAATAATCTAGGTGAGCTATTTATACAACTTTACAAACTCGTTATAGCATACTAATCGAAACACTTGAGCTCCTTTAGCTACGATCACTTGATCAACCTACTTAGACAAACTTGACTGTTCACCATTATGGACAAATTCCAAAATAGATCGTCACAGGGCCATCATAAGAAAAAGACATGGCCCAAACACAAGTAGCACACACAAAAACAAAGTACGAATCAGCAAAAGCTTGAGTACATATACACCAATAAAAATAATCACACTAACATGAATATCCTAGCAATAAACACAAAAAAATAAATAAATAAAACATGTTTGCCACACAACACAAGTTAACTTACTTTTGACTCATGACTCTACTTTGATTTATTAATATATAGGTTTGGATAACGCATCGAACATGTTTCCTCCTTAAAAATAGTCCATTTAAAATTATTAAATATTGAGCTTCTAATTAGGGAGCTACCCCAATTATCACCTACTATGTCACCTTGTGACGGAATTCCAGCGCATTAATAATAAAAGAAAGTACAGCGTCCGGTACCCCTGTAGATGCTATGATCAAATATAAAGTCACATAACTCCCCCCATGTGTTCATACTCAAGGTTTATAAGTTCCAAGAGTTTTGGTGCGTATCCTCTTACACTTTACCTGATTTACCAATTTAACTTGTGATGACTTCAACCAATCAATCAAGAACAAATATAATAACAACCAACACATACTTCCATTTCATTCTTGAAGTTATTAGTGAGCACATACTATTTATTTTAATTAAGGTTCCTTGCCTAGTTTTGTGCACAACATTGCACGATTACTACCTTGGTGCATAAAATGCACAACAAACTTCCTTGACTCAATCTCAACTTATGTAAGTGAGTAATAAACTAACTTTTCAATTCGACCTCAACTTATGTGCGTGAGTAAATAAATAAACCAACTTTCTTGACTCAACTCCAATAATAAATGGGTGAGAATAAAATCATGAATCATGCTCATTAAATATAACTTTAGCTCTTTTATACATATATAAGGCTTACTTAATAAATTCATGCCTTCTTGATAATGAATAATAAATAATATACATGATTCAATCTCTTTCAACTTGTATTAAGCTCATAATAATAATAATTTCAACATACTTACATGCTTACATGTAAAGACATGAATAATCAATCAATCAATTCAAGTATCACAACACACTTAACATGATCCTAATCTCATACTTGATACCAAATTAACTTTCTAACATGGTATTATGCATAATTAATACATCCTACGCGGATACGTACCTCAAATCCTCTTTCCAACTAGCCACAATGCTAGAAATTACTTCAACTTAAAGTCTCCTACAACACCAAATACATAAACTCAACTACTCTCTTGATTACACAAATTTCCAGCAACTTTTAAACACTTTAAAAACCTCTCTAATAAGCTGAAATTTTAGTTAAAAACCTTTAAAACTCGTTCTTTAAGTGGGTAATTAAAACCCTTAGTAAAAACTTATTCATGTTGTTTATATAAAAATTTAAGGGAAAAGTGCGTAATTCTACCGCACTCTACCCCCTTAAAGAAAAGAGTTACGCCCACGTAACTCCACTTAACTCAACTTTAGAATTGGGGTATTTCTTTTCTCATTCTATCTTTGGTTAAAATCATAATACTTCTTTATATTCATTCCTTGTTGCGAGTATCAATAATATTATCAATCCTTTACTCATCATGCTAAAAATAATTAACTTCCACTAAACCATCTTTTACCAATTCCTCAGTAAAAGTAATAAGCACTTTGCTATCCCTACCTTGAGTTGTTTAGCTTTCTCGTAGATAAACTTGGTTAAACTCAATAATTTCCTGTTATTTTTGTAAAAAGTAATAAACGGAATATAAATCCGTCGGAATATATGTACATTCCGACGGATATTTTTGTCGGAAATTACTATTTCCGACGGATTTATATTCCGTCGAAAATTCCGACGGAATATATATATATATATATATATATATATATATATATATATATATATATATATATATATAAAATCCTCATTTAAAATAAAAAAAAACCCTAATGCATCCCTCTTTCTCAGTTTATCTTTCCGCCTCCTCCTTCTTTCTCTCTCCTGTTCTTTTTCCTCTTTGATCTTCTCTTTCTCTTTCCTCTTTTCTTTATCTTTCCTCTTCTCTTTCTGGCCTCTTCCTTCTCTCCTGTCTATTACTCTTCTTTCCCCTCCGATCTCAAACCACCACCACCATCGCATCTTTCTTCTTTCCCCTCCGATCTCAAACCACCACTGCCCACAACACCGGCACAACAATAACAATAATACCGGCACAACAACAGCAACAACATAGCCGCAACAACAACCACAACATAGCCGCAACAATAACGCACAAACAACAACAACGACTCAACAATATCCTGATCCAGTTTTTTTTGTTTTTTTTTTTTTTTTTTTATTTTTTTTAAAATTTGAAACTAGTTAATTTTTGATGTCATTGTAATGTTAGTTTATAAATTTTGTTTAGTAATTGTATATTTATTTATTTCCTTAAAT